ATTACCGAGAAACGCATACTGAGAGAGCTCAAATGGAGCTTAACAGTTCCTACGTCTTATGTGTTCCTCATGCGCTTCATCAAAGCCGCTGTTGCTGATCAGCATGTTTGTATTTTTTGCTCTCTACTGTTTCAAAATTATTGTGATTGATGATGATTATTGCTCTACTCTTGAATGCTAATTGTTCATTTTTTTGTTTTGTTTTTTGTACATTTAGATGGAGAACATGATGTATTTTCTGGCCGAGCTAGGGATAATGAATTATGCCACCATTATATACTGTCCATCAATGCTTGTTGCCTCAGCAGTCTACACTGCCCGTTGCACCATCAACAAAAGCCTTGCTTGGAACGACACACTAAAACTGCACACTGGTTTCTCAGAGACACAACTTATGTAAGTTTTTTCAATCTTCATTTTGTGACTGTTTTAAGAATGAAATTAATATAATTACATGTGTTTCTGATTAATTTTTGTTTATTTATTTATGTTCTAAACAGGGATTGTGCTAAACTACAGGTTAGCTTCCACTTGATGGCCGCAGAAAACAAGCTGAAGGTGATCTATAGGAAATACTCCAATCCCGAGAGAGGCGTCGTTGCCCTGCTCCCGGCGGCCAAAAGTCTATTGGCTGCTGCTACATCATGACTAACAACAACATCAAGCAATTACTGTGTCTTGGATTTTGCTTCTGATAACAGTTGTGGAGCAATTTTTTTTTTTAAAATTTTTTTTCTTCAATTTTAAATTTGTAGTATTTTTGCTAAAAACTTGAGTACTAATTCAATTGATTTTATTCAATGGGGTGTGTATGTTTTTACTAGAGTATTTTTATGTGCTTTGCAAAAGTGGTGGAATTTTGTGTTTAGAAATTGAAAGAAAATTCTAAATGAAAAAATAGGTTGCTTTCTATTAATTTTTTCAAAAAACACAAAAATAAACAATATACTCAACGAATCTTATAATATGCACGGTTTAGGCCCAGAAATCTAATCCCCTCCCCACCCTGTAGACACCCCATTTTTGACCGACCTTAAGACTCAGACGTCACCGATTGAGCGCTAGGTGATGTTGCATAATTTGCTCATTCAGAAGTACCAACCCAAAGCACCATAAAGCCATAACAGGTCCCGAATCCTCAACCACAGTCCAAAAAATCTTACCATTATGTTTTAATAATTTTATTTTGATTTATATTTTAATCTCATTATTAATTGCACCGTGCCTTCAGGTACGGACATACACTAGTATATATATATTAAACAAGTTGTAGAGGGAAAAAAAAAACAGCTTAACTTTTTCAATCATAAAAAAAATGTAATTATTATAGTAATTTCACATCTTTTTTTAATTTTTTAAAAAGTTAATAGAAAAAAAAATCAAAATTTTACTTTGTTGTACTATATTTGTTGTATTATATAATTTCTTGAGATGTATATTTCTTGAGATGTATATTATATACTCCTTAATTAGAATTTTTGTAATCTTTGATTATAATTTATTAGGATGTTAGTTATGAGTTTATTATATATATATATATATATATATATTGATTTTAATTATAATATTATTTTAATTATAATCTAATTTTTTTTTAATTATACCTTATATAATATATTTTTTTTTAAAATTAAGATTGTTACGAGTGCCATAACATTACCCTTGTTGCGCCACATTTATTATTATAATATAATAATATAATATATGGAGTTGTACAGCATTAGAGGTCCTGCAGGATGAATTAGGATCCTCTCTTAGGTTTTCTTATTGTCTCCTTACTTACAACGGTGGAGATACATTTTGAGTTGATTCAACAAATTCAAATTTATTTTTCCTGCCTAAATCTAGACTGTTGGATCAACTCAAAGCATATCTCTACCGTTATAAGTAGAGAGACAAGAAGAGAGCTCAAGGAAATGATCTCAACTCCTGGAGGATTACATAGGAACAGTTTCTTAGGAAACATCTTCAAAAATCAGAACAAAACGAACCCACACAATCCGAAACACTACATGTGCCTTATAATTATAAAAAAAATAAAAAAATTATATAATTTTTACATGCACCTTATAATTATAAAAAAAAAAAAAAATTATATAATTTTAATTTTTTGAGTTCTAACTAAATTAAATATGAAACATAATTAAAAAATTCATGAGTCATAACTAAAATAAAAAAATATATATATAACTAAAAATATATATAATATATAAAAGGGTATATATTAAAATTTCTCCCCACAAACACACACCTCTTGTGCTTGAAAATGACCTCATCATCCTCCACCAATAAAACCACTTTCCAAAGTCTGACGACAATGGAACAATACAACATGAATTCTTGCATTTTTTGGTAATTTTTTATTTGAATTTTTTATTTTTTGAGTCAATAAACACCAAACTGGATTCCAACTTCTTTGTCAAACTTGTTTGTGTAGAGGATATGTGCTTTTGGACCACTTGAGGACGAAACTTATGTATATGGTCTAAAATTATCCTCCATACATAATGTTCACTGCCAAAATAAGGTTTCGTTTAGAAATAAATTATTTTAATTTTTATAAAAAGATATATAAAAAAAGTAAAGAGAGTGATATGACAATGTATAATGAATTTTTAATTTTTTGATTAAAATACTTACTCCTCAAACAAGGCTTTAGTTTGGACGAGGAATTACAATTAGTTCCTTGATTTTGACCAACATTGTTTAGATAGAGAAAACAATAAATGATGAGAGATAGAAGATAGAAACGAATGTGCAAACCACTTAGCTTATTTATCCGTTCCGTTCGGATATAAATTAAACCAAACAATTCATTTCATCATGTCCTGTTATGCCAACGTAAATGACAAAGCTATGCCTCAAATGATTCAAAAAGAAATTTTGTGATGACATCACAACTTTTTTTTCCATTAAATTGAAAATTATGTTGCATTGAGATGGCTTGGGCGTCTGAATGTGTGGTTGAATTTGGATTATTATTTTCGATTTATGTTGATGTGGTGTGACTTGATTAAAGGAATTGTTCGATCCAATCTAGATTCAAACTATAGATAAGTCAAATCCAAGGTGGTGGATGAATTTTAAGGATTTTAATTTAAAAAGAAAGAGAAAAGAAATGGAAAGAAAATTTATAAAAATTTTGGGTATATTTTGAAAAAATGTTTACCAAATATATATATATATATATATATATTTATGTTGTCTAATTTTTTGAACTAATAAATGTTTTTACCACTAAAAGTTATAATTACATACTGTCTTTCACCATTATACATTTCTTTTCTGAGTCCAGATCGTCTGCCGTGTTTTCCTACGGTTCTTCTTGCGGCTGTCCAAAACGACGTCGTTTTAGATTTTTTTTTTCTTCCCTTCTTCTCTCGTCGTCTTTTTCTTTGCAGCCTCTCTTTCGTTTTTGAACCTAACCCCTCTCTGAGAGACGAACAGAGGCCACAAACGGAATCACCTCCTCTTTTCGGGTTGATGAAAGTATTCATCTAATTCATCATCTACTACAATGTCTTCTTAATCGAACAAGTGGAAGAACGGTTGGTCCGTTCTTTTCCCCCATTAACATCTTCAAAGTTAACCATGGACCTTGAATCTGATACACAGACAAACAAAACAATATTTAGACCATTTTGCAACCAAAACTATACATCTTAAAAAGTTAATAACCATTTTTTGACATGCTTATAGAATCTGAGGACTTTTTGAAACATTGAGTTTTGTATAAATCTAATAATATATACATATATAAAATATAAAATATTTATAAAAAAAAAACAGAACCAAAAATCACAACATCACAAATTGCTCAGAATCAGAAATCACAAAATCACAAATTGCTTAGATCAACCAAAAAATTATTGAATTTAGATGTGAACTTTGACTAAAACAATCCTTCAATTTTCCCAGAACACAAACACACACAAAGTTAAATCATAATTTCTTTATGAAAATAAAGAATAAAAAATAGGGAAATGAATTGATTTTGCTTGTTAGATATGAATTAAGAAAACCCCCAAAGAAAATTCAGGTGTAAATAATGAATCAACAAGCAGAGCAAACAATCAAAAGTACCATATAAAGAAATCAAACCCAAAAAAAAAAGAAAAAAAAAAAAGAAAAGAAAAAAACAAGACCAACAACACCAACTGTACCTCACCAGACCATCAACAAAACAAGAAGAGAGAGATGGGTTGATTGATTACAAATAGGAGGATTTTGCAACTGTAAGGATTTGAGGGCAGCCGTGAAGGCAGATGAGAGAGAGAGAGAGAGAGAGAGAGAGAGATGTGTTTTGTATGTGAAATGAAGACAACTTCAACGGAGATGATAGGGATAACGGGAAAAAAAATACACTACACAAAACGACGTCGTTTTTGACAAAACGACGTCGTTTTGGTGAGCACCGCAGGAAGCGTCGCAGGAAAGCACGGCAGACGATCTGGACTCTTCTTTTCTATGTAAAAGTCGTAATCCTTTGTTCCTATTCTATTATTTCGTGCCCTCTTGTCCCTTGATTTTTGGTAGGATGCTAATGAGAGGAGACAGAAGGACTCGTTTGGGAACATATTAACTTAGTAATTTTTTGACTATTTGGTTAAAATATGAGCTAAAAAAAATTAATATGTTTGGGATGATTTTTTGACTTTTTACGAAAAGATGTGCAAAAAGTAGAGAAAAAAGAGAATTTTTGACTTTTTGGTATGAGTTGTTGGCTTTTTGACTTTTTTAATAACTTTTTAACTTTTTGACTAAACCGGCTTTCCCAAACGAGGCCTAAGTATGAGATAAACATACATTATTGGCATTTCATTAATTGTTTTTACCATAATCCAAAGAATTGAATTATTAAGAATATAAATCAAACTTGATTATTTTTTATTTTTTGATTACTCAGCATCTAACTCATTAAATCAACTAATCCGAAAGACCAATCTGACTGTTTTGGATGACTTTAGTTGATGTATAATGAAATAAGGGTCTAGTTATTAATTTATTGAACTAGTGCTCTAAACGCATCAGGTAATATTAACAAATAATAGGGATGGTGATGGAGTGGGTTTGGGGTGGGTTTGGATTCTCCACCACTGTCCCGTATGATATGGAGGGTGAAGCAAATCGGGTTGGTAGCAGGGTCGGGGATTGGATTAGTTTTATAACTTAAAAAATAAAAAAAAATACTAATAAAAATTATAAATTATATAATATATGATGAATAGTGATTTATAATTAAAGAAAATTACAAGAGGTAAGATATAAAAGAAATGAGTGAAAATAAATATTAAGTATAATATTTATCATATTAAAAAGACTAAATAATATATATTATATAATACATATAAATATATTTAATAAATATCAATAGAACGAGAAAAGTAAAACCTATCTCCGCTCCACTTGTCTAATTGGGGTGGGGAAAATCTGTGGAGAGGTCAAATGGGAGAAAATGGCCATTCCTAAAGTACGTTATTAACAAAATTCATTCTTTATTTATTTATAGCCTTTTTTTTTTTTGGCACTTTAAATGGTGTAAAAAAAAGTGCTTGTAAAATTGTATTGGGTAGACGTAGGTTTGGTTTGGGCCCAGGTACGATTTTGTTAACGACCAAGGCCCAAATACGATTGTTTAGCCCCAACGAAGCAATTAGCACTAGATGGGTTGCCTAGTTGTCTTTTTCATGTCCTTTGTAAACTGCCACGTCACTCGATTTCGTTTTTAGGAAGGCTGAAACAGTCAGTTGAAGGTTGAGA